TAAGATCAGAAGTATTGGGAAGAATCTCTACCTGATCCTCTGTCTGAAATGCTTGTTGAAAATGAAAAGACAAATCTGTATGAATAATTTGGAGGAAAAACAAAAAAAAAACCCAAAGTACACATTCCCCCCAATAATTTATTTGTTCATATTAGCAAGATTTTGTATACATTCGGTATTTTGTTCAGGGAAATGACCAGCATGAACAGTTCAAACATGATAACTCTGGAAAACAGCACATAGAAAATCCAATGACACAGGAATACCACATTCAGAAAATGCAGTGCCTGTTTCAGGAGAAATCTTTTAAAACCAGCCAAACTTGTACAACATGCAGGCAAAAAGCTGCTGCAGGCAGAAGAGAAAAAAACCCATTTTTTTGTAACCAAAGACTGGAAAAGCAAAAAACCAAAAACAAACAAACAAAAAAACCCAACCCAAATCAGCTTGTATACAATTCCCACAGTTGTACTGTCAGGAAGAATTGAGTATTCAGGGAAATTCAGAGAGGTTTTCCATCATTGGCTGAGTGGACTTGCTTTGAAAGTGGAAATGTACTGAAATGCTAGGCAGGTTTGTGTTTTCCTACTTCAGAAAACAGTTTACTAGGGCTGAATTTTGGCACCTGATAAATTTGGATTAATGCAAGAATGTCTCATTCTTTGGATGAGATGTTGAGCACTGTAAAATCGTGTTTATTTTTACTATTAACATGTGGAGGTTTTTGACTCTGAAAAAGACCTTGATGTTACCATGATGATAAAGGAGAGGCTGTTACTCATCCTGGGTTTGAGCCCAGTGTTGCTCTGAGAGTGAAATGCTCATAGAGTGGAGCTTTGAGCCTGTTGTGGGACTGACAGATGTGTTATTTCTCACGTGATGGTTGCCATCCATAGCTCTCCTGCTCAGCAATTCATTTCCCCTTAGCTCACATTTGCTATTTTCTCCTTCTCTGTCAGCATGAGAAATATGCAGTGTGCTCTGCAGAGAAGGAATGACATTTCACTCCAATCCTTGAGGCAAATGCTCCATCTCCTCCTGGGAAATCAGAGATTCGATTGCATCTGTCAAGCTGGGGGAAGATCTGTATTTTAAAACACCACAGGCTACCTCTGCAGTGTCTTGTGGTTTCTGTAGCACTGTCATACATGAAATGCCTTCACAAATATTTGAGTGTGTGAGAGGGGCAGGCAGAGAGCAGATGCTGCTGTGAGAGCAGCTGTCTCATGACCTGCTGGATTTTTCTGGCAAAGGATAACACTGGTGCAGGTCCCAGATTTGCCTGGAGCTGAGTGCAACACTTTGAGGACCAACTGGCTTTTCTCTTTGGCTCTGCTGTCAGAAGAGATCATCCAGGAAAAATTGGTGTCAACAGCCTGTCCCCTTGAGTTTGTTTTCCACATTGTCTTGCTTATCCAAACCATATTAAGACAGGAAAGAGGATCAAGGTATCTCTGAGTAGGATGTGGAGTTAATTACCCAGTATGGATTCAGCCTGGGACAGCTGAAACCTTGCTGGATGAATCACTGAGTTGCTCTGTGCCTCAGTAGCTTTATTTTAAAATGCAGTGCCTAATAAAACCCCACTGAGCCATGAGCAACAGTAGCTCAAGGCCAACAGGCACGCCTAGAACTGAGCACTTCCACTTCAGCAAAGCAGTAAGAGCTTTTTTAACTGACTTCAATCCATATAAGATGTTGCAGCCTGCCAGTGTTGCCTTTCAGAAAATTGAAAAAGTCAGGCAGGGAAATTTGGTAAAGAACCTTTGTGAAAGGCATTTTTGCTTACTCCAAGTAGAGAAGCAAGAAATATTCCTGCCTTAATCTTTCTTCTTTTCAGTGCTATGGATTTCCAGTACATTAAGGCCTGGCAAAGGAGAATATTCTTTTACACAATGCATAATGTATCCTTGGAGTTGGCAGAGAAAAATAAAGAATATAAAAATGAGAAGACATTTATTTGGATAGTGGGCAGAACTTAAATATTTTGGATTTGAAAAATCTGGCAAAGTACACGAAGCCTCAAAACCATCAGATAGAATATCTGAATTGACTGTGGAAACTGGACTTTCCCTGCCCTGGGATGAAGAGGGATTGGTGATCTCCTTCACCTCAGGCTGTGCAAGTTAGGAGTCATCTCTGTGATGCTCCAGCTCTCAACCCTTTGCAGCAGAGACTGCTCCACCCAACATGGCTGTCAGTCCCAACAGAAAACCCTGACCCAAGAGGATGCTGAGATGTCAGTCATCCCTCAGAGGTTTCAGGCAGGACACATCCCCTGCCAGGTCAGGTGTGGATCCTGGATGTGGCTTTGAGGGGAACTCCTGGCACTCCACTGTTCCCACTTCCCATCTGGCCACTCTCTGATCTCTGCTTTGTGCTCCTGCAAGGTTTCACACGACAGAATCCTTATGCTGGGAAGGTTTTACAAGTGATGATTGATGTCCAGCCTCTGGGAAAACCTCTTGTCCTGTTCATGCTTTAAGACAAACAGATCCATTCAACCTCTGTGACTGCAGCTCTTCCACCAGTGCCAAGTTCACTTTAAATAACAGGAAAAAATGGGCTGCTTGAATCTGCACTCCTTTTTTTTTTTTTTTTTTTTTCCCCTGTTTCCTAGAGCTCCTTCTATAGTTTTTGAGACTTCTCAGTCCAAATATCCACCGAAATGACAAGTGCCAATGACCCTTCTTGAAACAAGGGCAGGGCAGTTTTCCTGCAGAAATTCACTGAGGGAGCCAAACAAATTTGGTGTTTGTTGTGTTTGTTGTTACTGGCAAACCTGGCAGCAGCAGAGGGGTGGCTGGGACCAGGCTCACCTGATGCTGAGGACTAGAAGCTTTTCAGAGTCACTGCACACAGAGACATTCTTTAGAATCTGTTTGGTGCAAAAAAAAAAGGATGAAGGTGAGACCAACACTTCATTATTCCAATCTCTGTCTCTGCCACGCAGGAGAACTGTGCTACATCCATGTCCATCCTGACACTGCCAGCAGCAGCTTGACTTATTTATCTTCATCTTACAGGGTCAGATTATATTGCTGCATCAGAATTGCTCTGCAGGTAAATGAATCCAATTGTGAAAGCCTCCATGTGTAGCTCCACAACAACTCCTTGCCTGACACCGTGAAACCTCAATAAATCTAAAATTACTGCAGCAACCCTGTGTAAATCTCCCAACTCCAAAGAAGATATGGCAAAAAGGGTCTTACTGGTCATAAAACAAGTCCTGATTGTAGGATAAGACAGGGTTGGGCACCAGGAGTGTGCACTGAAGACTTTAAATCTTGCCTGTCTTGCTCAATTTAAGGAGTGTTTTTTTCAAAATGTTTCAAAATTCAGGTTTTGTCCAAATACACATCCCACATATCTGAACCCTGTGAGACTGGAAACCTCAGCCACGAGTCTCACGTGACTTTCTTATGAGATTTCCAGCTTTTCTCCTTCTGCTCTTGGCTTGAAGTACCATGAGAATATTTTCTTATATGGTATTTCCACACTTTTAGCTTCAAATTCTAGGCCTGAAGAACCTTAAGTGTGAGGTGGATTTCTTATTTAAGCTAAAACTGGGATTGTGCAACAGATTTGTGTTCTGTGCATTTATAAACAAAAGACACAGGAGACAAATCCTCTTTACATTGGGGATTTAATACTGAGTGAGAGATATACAAACAATGATTTCTCATCAATGCCACCAAGGTATTGTTTCAAGACCCTGTCCTGTGATAATGAACCTTATCTTGAGCTGTTTCCCTTTTCAAGGCAGTGGATCTTCAGCACAGCAGCTGACACAGACAAGAGTAGGGGCTCATGTGCTGTTTCAAAGAGCTTAATTCTTCCTTGGCAGGCTCAGGAGGAGTTATGTCAAGAGTGGCTTATTTCTAATATTGTACTGACAATTCCTCCCACTATTTCTTCCAGATGCTGGCCATCTCATTTATTTTTTTATTTGGATTAGCTGTATTAAAATATAACATGCTTCCAAATGCTTTTCTCCTAAATTCCCAAGGGAATGGGAATTCCCCTTTCTCGTGGGGATGGACATCCTTAAGCCTTTTAAAATGTTTAACTCCCCCTGCTTAAAAGAAGGAGAAAATTCCTGACTCTGGAGTACCAGGATCTCACAGAAAGCTTTGAGCACTTGGTCACTTCCCAACTTGAAGGAGTCAGGAAAAGGAAAGTAGCAAAACACTGGGCAGGGAGACAGGAAAGATCTGTAGTTTTTCCAGTGACTGTGGCACTGATCTGGCTATTGAGTACCTGAGCAAAGAATTACTGAGCCTTTCAGCAGGTTCCTGATGGACTCAGAAGATAAAAAACAAAAGGATAAATGCAAGTGAGTTTTGAGCCTTGTTTGATAAGGACTTACCTAGTTTTGAGTTTTATTAGACCTGCATCAAGGCACATGGATCGTCGGAACAAACCAGGTACACATGCAAATTTTCATTTGGTATGGTGTGGAGATAAGGGAGGCTGATTGTACAAAAAGGAAAAGTTCTCCTTGGTCTCTGAAGCTTGGTGGAGTGCAGTCACTTGGATCAAGTTTTCCTTGGCAATGGAGTTGACTGAAATCCAAAGGTGAGGTTTGGCTTCAAGGGGAGGCGTGGAATCACAAAATGGCTCTGAAGGTGGAGCTGCCAGAGAGTGTCAAGGCTGAAATCAGCACAGGGTCTTTGTGGTTCTCACTTTCTCCTCCATTGCCTAAATGAGAGCAGTGGGAACTTCAAAGGAGGAGAATAAAGAGATAAAGCTTTTAAATGCCAAGGAAACACCTGGCAGATGCTGGACTCTCAGAATAACATCCACTGAAGCCATGCACTACCTTTGAGGGGCTCCATTCATGCTCCCAGCACTCACAGACATCCTTCCTCTGAAGATTTGGCCCTGTTGCACCTGTTCATACCTGGATCCTTTCAACTATCATGCCTATTCCTACTTCCCCATAAAAAGTGTGACATCCCATGAGGTCCCCAAGCTGCCAGCCTGGTGCACCCAGCTGGTTATACATCCTCCCCACTCTCACTCAGGGAGATTGAGTGGATTTTGATGGTTGGCACTTTGCAGTTCTCGTGGACAAGACTCCCTGAAGTGCCTGCACAGCAGCATTCCTGCAGGAACCCTTTGCTCTTGGCTTTGGCAGCTGTGCAGTCTTTGGAAACAGCATTTTTGGTGGGCACACCCTGCACGGCGGAGAAGATCTTCCACTCGCAAACCCCGTCTGACTTGGAGATCTTGTAGAAGGTTTCTCCTGATCCCACAGGGATCCGGACCACCCCTTTGCCACCCTCCATGCTCTGGCCTGCAGGATGGTTGAGGTTGAAGCTGGGTGTTTGCTTCACTGCTGGCTGCTTCCGCAGGAGGCACTGAGCTCTCAGGACGTTATGGAATGCTTTCTTGAACTCTTGACTTGAGCATGGATAGATGATGGGGTTGATGCAGCTGTTTAAATATCCCAGCCAAAATGTTATTTTAAAAAGAGTGTCCGGGGGTTTGATTGCAGGAAAGAAAGAGCCTAAAATGGAAAATACACAGAGTGTTAGGGCAGAGGCAGTGAGGAATTGCAGGTAACCAAAGAAACTAAAACACTGGAAAAAATAAATAGGATTCTGTTCCGTCTTGAAAAATTATGATTGGAAACACAATTCCTGCAGGAACAAGTGTTTCAGAATCTGTGGTGTCATACAATTACATGGATGTTCCATCAGAAACCAAGTCAAGAGAGCTATTTTATAATTACAAGAATTATATTCCCATTTACAGCTAGAGAGGCAGCCAGAGGGCTGATTCCAGGGATAGAGGAAAATTCCTTCGGCAGGGACTCCTAATTGAAGATTTATTACCCATATGACAGCAATATCTTGTAGGTCATCACAAGGGGCTTCAGATGGCAAGAAAATCCCACCATTTCAGAAGGGTTAGAGAAAAAAGGGATTAGAGTTGACAGTGTCACAGCTAAAAGTCTTTGAAATTATGAAGTATTGGGTACTGATATTCCCTGAAACCTTCAGAAAATTTAACTATCCACACCCTGCCTCATGGAATGCATCTAAAATTGAGAGAAATTAAAAGAAAGTTTCCTTCTCATATCAAGGAACACTGGGGAGTGTCTCATAGGCAGCCATGAGATGTGTGTATATATTTTTAACTTTAATTTTAATATTTTTATTTATTTATATACACACATATTCTGATATATACTTGCAATGTTACCTTCCAAAGATGATTCAAAGAGCACGAACTTTCTTTACTGTTTCCTTAGTAAAAAAAGTACTTTGGCATTGGCATTTCTTTTTCTATAGAATGATGAGTTATCTGCTGATTTAAAGTCTTGAAAATGTTTTTCCTGATGTAAACCTTTAGTTTTATTAAAAAAAAAAAAAACCAACAAAAAACAACCTCGTGGAAACAAAATTGGCTTGTTTTGGAATTTGTACTCAAATTTATAATAAACAGGACTTTTAGCACTGATAAATGCTTGCCTTCATGCTTCCTCTGGAAAAACTGTAAGCATGTGGAAGAAATAGTGTGGAAGGGTCAGACATCAATGCATCCATGATCCTCTGCAGTTTAACCATGTCTGGGAGCAGAGTCTGAGCTTTACAGGGATCGATCTGTTCCCTGGACCTCTCGTGGCCGAGGAAAAGCTGTTAATGCCCTCTGAGGATGTTCTGATTGAAATCTGAGAGCTGCTCAACCGCTCTGCCCTTTTTCCTCAGTCTTTGTCAAACAAAGCTGCAGCACTTGCAGCAAATGCTTTCGAGTGGCCACAGCAATTCTTAGGGTGGTTTTGCCTGTGTGGGAATGCATCAAAATCCTGCCTGGGCTAGAGACACAACTGGTGCAGGGTGATTAATGTGGGATGCAAAGCTGTGTTTCGTGTCAGGTACAAACAGGCAACGTGTGTATTTGTGAATGTGAAATGTGTGGACCCAGACAATGGGAGAGCTGTGAATTCTAATAATAACTGAGGAAAATAAAGCATGGAAAAAGGCCTTTGAACCTATCTTTTGTTTGCAATTAACCCTAGTTGATTTAGGAGCATTGGAATTAAGGTGTTAAGGATGTTGCTTTTTGCTTGCATTTAATCCATAAAAAGCTCTGCAATAATAACCTTTTGAAGTATAATTTTAGAATATTACTTGTATCCTTGAAACTATAGCTTTGGAATATATATAAAGGAAATGTGCTTATCTCACGCCTTATTGAAGCAGAGAAAAACAGCTTGAGGAAAGAAGATGAACATCACCTCAAGGGTTTATGGTTTTGACCAAAGATAAGCTGGACACCACTGTTACGAGATTTATAGTCTCTGCAATTAAAAGGTGGACACACATCTGGGGAGCTGGACCCCACCAGATGGGATTCGTCTTTCTTCTTTCGGAAAGTGGACCGTCACCATCTGGGGATTCTCCTTTGAGACACATCCTGAGAAATTAAAATCACAATAGTGTATAGAATTGTGATGTAATAATTTGGAATAAAAATTGCTGATGAGTAAAAGATTGGAAATAGAAACTGCCAAAAATACTGATGAGTACCCCTATAAATACCTGTAACCATCAATTATCGGTGCGCAGTTGGAGGGAAAATTTCTCCCACTGTAACCAGCGCTGTATTGTTCATACTTTGCCATATTAAATAATAAATTGATTGCTGCTTGAATATTGGCCTAGTCAAGCTTCTTATTCATAACATTAATAACCTGCTCTTCTTGCTGAACACGGGATCTGAGGGGAAATGTGGAGCGATCTTGTGGTGGCAGCAGCTGCTGCACCCTGAGCAGAGCACATGGACACGGGGCAGGGTGAGAAGCCCTGCAGGGGTCTCTGACCTCGGACCAGACTGTGTGTGTTATGAGTAGAAAAGTTGCCCATTTTTTTTTAAAAGTCGCAGAGTTCACATGTTGAGCCAGTTGCTGCCAGGGTGGAGTTCTAACTGTTTGTTGTTGTAATCACCTGTTGTTAATAGTTTTTTGTTAACTGTTGTTGATGGTTGGGAATTCCCCTTTTTGTCCAGTGGCACCCTGCTGCTTCCTGGAGGATGGCACCTGGGACGGTGAAGAGGAGGGGACAACGAAGTTGGCATGCAAATGACATCGGGGTTGACATGCAAATGAGGAAGCCCCTCACCAAACCTAGCCAAAACCCCTAAAAACCAGCCAACACAGAATTGAGGGGTCGAAGTGATGTCTAGACGTGAGGAACAGAATCAGTATCTGCTAAGACCCTTTTAACCCCTCACCCTAACCTGAAGATGTCAGCTGGAAAGAGAACCTCAAATGTCAAACCAAAAATGGGGGGAATCTCCTGATGCTCTCGTGAGGACAGAAGCCCCAGCTCTGCCTGCAGACCAATGCACTTTTCCTCCTCCTCCATGCCACTCTTGGAAGCAGTGGTGGCATGAGCACAACCCATCGGTTCTTCCCCCCCGAGCTGATTTTTAATGAAGGTATTAAAAAGGAGAAAGATCTCCTGCCCAATTAATTTCAGAGTGTGTGTGCTACAGCAGCAGCAAAGTGACACCAAATCACAATCATCACAGGATGGTTTAGGTTGGGAGGGACCTTAAACCCATCCAGTGCCACCCCCTGCCATGGGTAGGGACACTGTCCACCGTCCCAGGGTGCTCCAAGCCCCGTACAGCCTGGCCTTGAACACTTCCAGCCATCCAGGGGCAGCCACAGCTGCTCTAGGAATTCCATCTCAGCCCCTCTCCACCCTCACAGAGAGAAATTCCTCCCCAATATCCCCTCCATCCCTGCCCTCTGTCAGTTGAAGCCATTCCCCCTTGCCCTGTCCCTCCAGGCCTTGTCCCAAGTCCCTCTCCAGCTCTCTTGGAGCCACTTTAGGGGCACTAAGCCTTTCCCAAAGCTGTCTCTTCCCCAGGCAGTGCAGAACATGCCACAGGAGCTCTGTTTCTGTTCTGAGGCAGCTGAACCTCTGATTGCAGCCTCAGACATGACCTGGGCACCAAACATGGTTCTCACTGCCTCTGTGGTAGCTTCTGGTTGCTCCAAGCTGGCTCAGGTAGAGTAGTTTCATTATTACTTTCAGTATAAACCAAATTTTAAGACCAAAAAGATTTTGCTAAAGAAAACAAATGCTGTTTTGCAATGAAGCACAAGTAAGCACAGATATCCACAACCTAATTTTTTTCTCCGCAAATTAATGCTTCTCTCCTTTAGTGAAAAACAACTAAATAACATTCTCAAAGAACTTTCTGGCTGAAATCATTGGCAGATGAAAAATAACGAAAGGCTTCTAAATGCCCAAATTATGCTCATTTTTTTGTCTGTTTCCTCATTTAAATGCCATGTATCTGCTGCTTTCCCATTTTGTGGTGCGAGAAAAGGTGAACCAAATCCCAGCTTATGGATTCAGCAGTGTGAGGCCAAGTGTAAAAATGGGTAAACAATAATAATTCCTGTTTGCTGCAACTCCCGGCTCCCTCCAGATGGAATGCAATGGCTGTGCCAAAGTCTGATAAAAATAGAAAACAGCCAGTGTCAGAGTCTGTCCCTTGCTCTTTTTTTGGGGTGGGATCTGCATGTTAATTTATTAATGTAGCCTTTTTTGGTTCATCAGTGGAGACACTCGTGTTGCCTTGGAATAATACGCCGTGAAAGAAAATGAAGGAGCTCTAACAGCACAGAGACTTTGCTATCTGCAGATTCCACTACACACTGGCTTTCAGATAATCATGGAACGATTTGGATTGGAAGGGAAATGAAAGATCATCTAACTCCAGCGCTTTGCCATGGGCAGGGACATCTTCCACTATTCCAGGGTGCTCCAACCTGCCCATGGACACTTCCAGGGATGCAACAGCCACAGCTCCTGTGGGAAATCCATCCCAGCCCCTCACCACCCCCACAGGGAGGAATTTGTTCCCAATATCTGATCCAAGTGTACCCTTCTTCACCCCAAGCCATTCTCCCCTGTGTTATCAGTGCATGCCCTGGTAAAAACTCGCCCTCCAGCCTCCCTGTAGGGTGTGTTTGACACTCAGGGGCCACCGAAATCGCTGTCCTTCTATTGCAGCCCCACAGTTACCTCTGTAGCTCAGAAATATTCCCTAACATTTCCTGTTGGCTACCTGAGTATCTAGGAAAAGGGGAAAAATATCTTATTTTCCAAATCCTTGAGTAATGGTGTTCCTCCCCACAGAATCCTAAGAACGTGTCCCTTTCTTGCAAACCTTTAATATTCACTGATGTTGTTGTGATCAATCTCAGTGGCTGATGGATCTGTTAATGAGCAGGAGGCATTTTCAAACCTGGTGACAAAGTAGTTTGTTCAGTGCTGAGCTCTCAAAATGGACAGCTCAGGTCAGATGAACTCAAAGGAGAAATAAAACAAAGATTTTGTGGGATTTTTTTAAAACAATGACCATAATTAATCATGAGATTAAACAAGTGTGGTGAATTATGTCTTTTTTAGGGTGTATGGTACATGTTCCCTACAAAGCAGTGAGCACAGGGAAAGCAGGTAGAGCTGGGATGAGCATTTCCAT